ATGAGGCAGTTAAACGTCTCAAACTATAGGCGGTAAAGCTCTGTTTTGCAGTCGTGTTCGATGGTATGAGGATGTGAGTGTGGTTGGGGAGTTACGTAAGGAGACGAAATTAATTTATGCAGTTGTGAAGCTGCATCAACTAAAATGGCCACAATACGTGTTAGGAATATCAAGATACCTGGTTTATCATGAATCATTGGATTGGAATAGACATGTGGTGTTGTATGACTTCAATATGGCAACCATCCATGACTGTTCTCTGTGAGCTGCCTTACAATCGAGTTTAGACTCTCTGACTACGGTCTTAAATAATATCACCGCTAGCTGAGCAGTAACCTTAAAAACAAGGCTCTTGAATCCAGTCAGGATTTTCAGTATTCCACTTCGAAGAGCCATGCATGATCAACAGAAATCTTCTTCATTTTGTAAACGACTGTGAAGGAATCCACACCACTATTCACGCTTGTATGATCAATGTCTGGGAAATGGTATGTTTCGGCATGCAATCCCCTCTCATAAAACTGTTCAAAGATCCCTTGTTTTCAACCGATATCATCTTCTCTACAAATCAAGTAGAACCTTCGACAAGTATCGTCCCGTTTTAGTGATTCTTAAGTTTTATTCATGACTATGAAATGGACATAGAAGAGAAAAACAAACGCAAATATTTCAACATAACAAGCAAGCAAACAAACAAACAGAGAAAACACAACCTGAAAAGAGTAATAAAGACTCACCTCATTATCACATTGCTTACATTTCTTAATTTAGACAAAATAAACGTGACTTAACTAAAGATAATTAAATGAGAATAATTTGATAATGTTCAATACGAAGGATATCGCAGAATGTAGGTCAAGCAGATAAAGACGAAGAAAAGAAGAAAAAGAAGGATAAATATTATTAGAAGTAGTAGTAGGCTGTTAGTAAAGCGTAAAATACAGAAAATAAATTTCATTGCTTTTATGAAGTTACAAGTAGGATAATGTGTGATTTAATTTTGATACCTGTGGAAAACAGAATGCGTTTCGCTCCCCATGAAATACAATCGACTTCCAAGGTGAATACAGACTGCTCCGAATTGAATAATGGATGGTAGCAGGTAGGGAAATCTGATTGTGTGGATGCATGTATTTCCACAAGCTTATGGTCAAAGTGAAGGGAATGAGGCAGTTAACCATCTTCAATTATAGGCGGTCATGCTCTGTCATGTTGTCGTGTGTGTGTGTGTGTGGGTGGGTGGGTGTGGGTGGCAACTTACGTAGGAAGGGAAATAAATCTATCATTTGTGAAAATGTATGAATATATCTAGGCAGAATAACTACTTTTCACTTTTGTTTACACGTATACCATTATTCTGTTACTGTCATCCTCGCTCTTTTCATATCTTCAGTGAATCGCTTTTCACACAGTTTTCTTGGTTTTCGTGTTGGTGCACAATGACTGTGCCACAGGCTCCTCACAGTTTCACCTTTGTATACTATATTCCGTTAGATTTTGTTTCACGTAGTATCGTATTCCAGGTGAATCCTATGTTTTGGATCATACGTTTCACTCAACGTGTCGTTTGTGAACTCGTTTCGATTGTCGCTCCTCTTTTCGTAGAAGAAATCCACACTGAGTGACGTAACATAACACTAGAACTATCGACTGGAATTTGAGTAGGAAAACCACGGGTTTACCACCCAAAACTGATCTTGTGGAGATCGTGTGTGAGTGGGATGAACGCTTATGAAGAACTGTGTAGACAGATTAAAGAATCTGTGCAAAACGGAGTAAAATAGGGAAAACTCAGTTACACGGTTGGAAACTGTGAGGTGATGAACATAACTGTGATTGGTGGAAAGTGAGTCACTGAACTCTGATATTTCCGCTACCTGGCGGCAAAACGGCGAGCAGAAGAATATAAGAATATGAAGAAAACCCTTATATTCATGTCTAATGATATGGGGTAGGCAGTGATTTATTGAATGACGCAATTATTGAATATTTCGAAGTATTTCTTTGTCTGATAACCGTTGTTCTCTTTTGAAGCTTTTCGTAAACAAATGAAGTCCATGGCGAAAAGTTCACCAGAGACTGATACACACACACACACACGATGACATACTGAATCTCGCAAACAACAATAACTTAAATTGTTGACACAGTAAAAAGGTAAGCTATTAACACGCCCTGACAAGGGTGCAAGTGTTGTTATTATCGATCACAAAGTTTGCATTAATAAAACCCCACATCTACTTTCAGACGCCAGTAAATTGTTGAAACCAAACGAGGAAACCAAGAGCAAAATTAATCGCTAAGCAACTTGCCGAACCATTTTATTCTTCAAAAACCTCAACCTCATTTTGCAGCTGACCATATGACAATGCCACGTGTCAGGTTATCCACTACGGAAAACTGAGCGAGGCGTTCGTAATGAATACAGGGGTAAAACGAGCTGGTTGTTTTTTATCACCAGTGATATTCCTAATTACAGTGGAATGGATAATGCATCAGACTGTGCCTGGGAGTGAGGAGACAGCAAAAAGCTCAACTCCCGGTAAGGAGACAGTAGAAGCTCTAGATTTCGCAGATGATAGATGCATAATGTCACACAATCTTGAAGACCTATACGCAAAAAGTAACAAACTGGCAGAAGTTGCAGAGAGAGAAGACAGGACACCAGGTGAACACAGAGACAATGGAGGTGAAGAAGACAACCAATTATGAGTAACACCACCGCCAACAATAACCAGCACCAATCATGTTGTATAGTTCACTAATCTAGAATCATCGTTTCAACTACAGGTAGTTGAATCATATGCCAACATATGTGAAGCAGAAATTTTTATGGAAAGTAGCATTTCAATACTTTTTATTCCTTTCACTGCCTGGTTGAAATTTCTAAGTTGTCTAAATAAAGTTCAACTATATTTTAATAGTTTTTGTACGAGTGGCTTTCCATGGACACTAGTCAAGACGCTATACTACATAGCGATTAGAGGAATAAGCTTTGTTTCTCAAAATGGTCTTGAAAAGCAATGGTTTCCACTAAAGATTCATTAACAAGTACGTTAAATTTGAAGTTTCAATTATCGAGCAGATATCAGTGGGCAAAATAGCCCATCTACATTGAAACTGATTTTAACGGTGAAAATATAACACCGATTGTCAACAGAAGATTGAGGACTTCACTAGTCACAGACTATCCCACAGCTAAGCTGGTTCTCGTCTGTCAAACAACTTGCTCTTTGGTGCAAACAAAAGTCAACAAATATCTATCTCATGTTAACTTCAACTGTAAATACAATTGTACACGCATTTGTGGAGCAGTTACATTGAAAGAACATAAAGAAGGGCCTACCTCCGATTTTCTGAACATGTACTAAGAAGCCTATATTCCAGAGAGAAAAATGCATTAACGGGTGCCATCGCCAGGCATCTTCTTGACACAGGACATGTGATGGACCTCGTTAGATCCTTCACAATTATCCATAAGCAAAAGAATTCAATACTCCTTAAGTTTGCAGAAGCGATCACTATCAAGCGCCTGCAACCTGATTTATGCGTTCAGAAAGGAGCCGTTATCAATCTGTCTTTGCCATGGTAACTGAATATTTTCACCCTGGCTTTTATTTGATTACATGATGCCGGAATTCTCAGTTGTGTATGATCGAAATTGTTTAAACATATGATGAGGAATTGATTTTTGATGAAAGGATAAATCATGTCCACTTTAGTAGGATACAGCTCAATTATCGATACAATTTTTATTTCGATAATATCATGCATTGTTATGCAGCTATTTTTGTCGTTTTGTTGACAAATTATTGCCTCATCACTGTATGACAGCATCATGATATGATATTGTTAATATTATTATCAGGAATAATATTTATCTGAAACGGCAAAGAATCCTGTATAACACTATGTGATTTTTTAAAATGAAAAGCAGTATCGTTCATGAGTGATTTCTGTTTACATGTGAACTGTTTGCAAGTATGTACAACTTGTTTCTAAAGATAAACTTTATAGTATCTTTCGAGTTTTCGCAGGTTGATGAGAAGCCGGAGCAATTTCATATCTAAATTTACCAATTTTTAACCCCCAGAGATGGGTGATTTTAGCGTGACTGGTACTAGCCAGTGTCATCCGGAGCGAGTATTTGTCCTCATCCCCAATTGGGTAGACCACTGGTGAGGGTTTACCACTAGAAATCAAACCAGGTAAATTAGATTTTCAGGTAGTCACTAGTGGAATCAGAATAATCAACAAGAGTTAGTTTGTAAGAATTTGATTTATTTTATGTTTCACTACAGTTTGATGCCAACCAGAGAAGCATTGATAACCAACATTAGCTGTACGTATCCACCGGGTATACCTGTAAAATTAGGAATCGGCAGGAGCCAGAATTCACACAGTGGACATTGAGTCGTGCCGTTGCAGCTAAATGGTCTATAAGCTTGCCATGTAACTGGAAGATCCTGTGTTCAAAATTCAATAGATGAGTACTGACGATGAGACCAAAACAAGGGAGGTGAAACAGAACTACACTATTTCATGGTGTTTCTCAATGGTTCGCTAAGTTTTGTCTGTCCATAGGGAAACGTTGCGTAAATCAAATTACCCCCTACAAACTAAGCATCGATAAACCTACTTAATTTGGATGAGTTATCAGTCTGTCTATGTTGAGAGAAAGGATTGGTTGATTCGCCTTCAAATGAATGGTGACCATAGACAGTAAGAGTGACCGCAGATCAATATATTGTTGTGGTTTTCTGTAACCAATGTACTAATGATTGTTTTTATATACTACGTGCTATGCTGTATTACTTGTCAAATATAGCTGCATCGTTAGATAGGTAGGTGAACACAATAAATGAGATACACACATGTGCACCATAGACATACATGGTGTGTGTTCATGTGTAACTAACTATAAAAAGGCTATATTTGAGAAATTCAAGCATAAAATTCTTTTGCAGTTGACAACATAGACTGACGAGAGATTTTGAATCATGGAAAATTTGTTACTACAGGCATTACTCTGCCTTATAGTCATATTATCTAACAACAATGTAACTAGTGATAGTAAGTTGATTATTAATCAATTTTTAACTTGTTAAAATATTATCCTTTTGCTTTTTTGTAATTTTTTGTCGTCATTTTGGATCAAAAGCGAAGTAAAAGTCAATCCAGTTTGATTATCTAAATACGTTGATAACGATTTTCTGCTTTATTGAACTTCCGAAACCGTCTCCACTCACAAAACAAATGTGAATATTGAATCATAAATATAAAGACAGGAAATATGAATTTCAAACGAATAAACTGAATGCTGTGAGACATTTCAATATCCACGGGATTTCCTGTAAATAAATAAATTTTCTTTTCGACGATTCATTTTCATGAGCTGTACAATCGTAATTATAATTAAACACATAACTCAAAACCTTCAACGCAGCGCATCCATCAATAAGATTCACCTTAGAACGCGAATCAAACAACGCATTTTCATTCCTCGATGTATTACTCACCAGAAGAGACGACTGTACGATCCAAAGATCGATATACCGTAAGCCAACATGGACTGGACAGTTTATCAACTTCCAGAGCTTTGTTCCACTGACCCGAAAGAGAAACTGGTACGTACATTGTGCTGAAGGATTAGAAAAATCTGCTCGGAAGACACGGTGGAGAAAGAATTAAATTTATTGCGTGAAACCCTACTAGAGAATGGGTATCCGCCAAGATTCATCGACGAAAACATGAAGGAGAAGCCGTTGGGGTCAAATATCACAACGGTTCCTAAGAAGACTCTCTTCATGAACCTAGAATTCAAAGGTGACATCGCAGCGGAAATTCTGAGAAACCGCCTTTCAAGAAGTCTGAAGAAGACATTCCCAACAGCCACTCTACGTATAACATTCTCCTGCAGACAGTTAATCCAGTCTAACGTTAAGGACAAGATACCGTCTTTGGCCACTTCAATGTGTATTTATCAATTCACTTGCTCGTGTGGAGCAAAGTATATCGGCCGTAGGCAACGTCAAGTTCACAAACGTATCCTGGAACACTGCCCAGCTCGGTTAGCCAGAGGAGAAAAGAAGAATAGCAAGAGCTCAATCCTCGCACACCTTGTTATCTCCGGACATCGAGCACCCTCATACGAATGCTTCACAGTGGTACACAGAGTCCCTCAATATCGTACAAAAGGACCTTGGATACGACATCTGTACATAGCTGAGGCATTAGCTATTCGTGACCTAAAACCGGACCTATGCATACAAAAACGAAACATACATTCTCTAGCCCTACCATGGCTAGAGTAAATTTCTTACTATAATTTTTCTCCTCTCTTTTAATATGTAGTTCACTATTATTTAGTATTATTATTATTATTACTGTTCTTGATACTTTTATTATTATTACTATTCCCTCCATCCACATTTTATTACCACTCTATTACTGTTCATTAATAACATTGCTTTCTCACACAGATCTTATACAAAACTACTTTACAGCCTTTCCGCTAGTTCCTGTCCATTCTACACTAGCTTATTGATTAGTCATTATCTCACACTTATTAGGTCATGCCAACTTCTGTCTCTTTTCTAACTTCCAATTAGTCATCCCTTCTTACACCACACATAATGTAGTAGAATTTTCAACGAAAAATGTTTACCAGTATCTGATTGGTCAAAAAAACTTTTGTGTTTAATTATAATTACGATTGTACAGCAGCTCATGGAAATGAATCGTCGAAAAGGGTTAAAATTTTCTTCTTCGCTGTTTGTGCCTTTTTCTTATGACTCAATATGGGAATATTTCGTTCATTAAATTAATTGCATTTAATACAAGTTAAACAGCAAAATATGAGTTAGAGAATTAAAAAAAATTCTCTACAGCTGAAAGACATTTGTGGTTAGTTAAACTAAGGATAGGTGTAATCAGAATATAGAAGCATCTTGTGTTGACCACAGTCTTTCCTATAGTATGTGTAGTGTGTGTGTGTGTGTGTGTTACTCTTTATGTTCATTCACTAATCTTTTCATCTGTCATTTTCTGAAAGCGTTTTTACTATTTCCTGATATGTATTAAAAAAGAGCAAAATGAAGTAGGATTTTTTAATGAATTCATCAATTCATTTGTAGAACTCCTCCTCCACTGAAAACTCTGCATACAGTGAGAGAGATATGCCTGAAAAATAAATACACTAAAGTTTATGAGTCTTGAGAAATGACACGTGAGAGGTCTTCAAAGACGAAGTTCAGAAAGATGAAGCCGAAGGGTATGCCAGATTCAAATAAAAAGCTGAGTGGAACAAAGTGGAATAAAAACCTAAAATCGTCAATATTTCAGAAAATACGAAGGTTAAAATATTAATGAAAACAGAAGTTAGAAAACAAGAAAAATGAGTAAAAAAGTTACAACGAATTTTCATTTGAATAAGGCATTAAGAAGACAAATTTCGCCGCGAGATGATATCGTCATTCCGTAGTTTCTTTACAACCGCTTTACAACTAACATGGTTCACATTAATAAAATAAAACAAAGTTCATGACAATTACTCAGTTAAATAAAAAACACAAAACTACATACTAATGACCAATCATATTAAGATAGGTCATGCAGTCCAGGGTAGGCGAAGATTGAAGTCTATTGATTTTTGTACACACAGGTTAGGCTGTATGTGATTAATCCCCCAAAGTGCTTCCATCACCTTCAATAACCAACCTTGAATTAGAGTTATGTGAAATAATTGTGAAACAGTCATTAATATTGATTTTGTGACCTAACATTAGTAAGTGTTTTGCAATGACTGATGCTGGATTTCCATTCAGATTAATTGCATTGGGATTTTCTATATGATTTAGTAGCCATTTTGGAACATGTTCTTCTCGACGACATTGGAACATTCTGTTAGTTCTACCTATAGAGATGTCAGCGCAGCTGCAGGTGAACTTGTAGATACAGTTTGAAGTAGAGTCCGCAGAATTTCGTCCTTTAATCGTAGGTAGTCACAGGGATCAAAAATGTTCGGCAAATGAGAAAAAGAGATGTGGCGGTGTAGAATGTGCGTTTGATAGCAGACCGAAGTCTTTAGGCTGCCAACTGCATAATCTGGTCACCCTTGAATGGTAGGTTAATAAAGACAGCTTTCTTTGGTACAGAAGCTGTCTTTTCGAGATGTTGTCTTTCTTTACTGTGACCAGTGATAAAGATCTCCGGATAACTATTAGCTAATAAAACCTTATGTATATGTTGAATCTCATCCTTCACTGTGTCACTCGTGCATATTTTTCGTGCCCTTGAGAACAAACATTTCACTAGGGAACGTTTATACTAGATGGAAACAAAACTGGTAAAAGGAAGATATTGTCCACTCCATGTCTGTTTACGAAAAATTAATCGCTGAATCGTACCATCATCTCTCCTAGTCATAGTAATATCCAGGAAACCTAGTTAGTTATTCCATTCTCTTTCGGAAGTCACTCGAATATTTGAATGAATGTGATTAGATAGGGTAATAAAGTTTTCAATTGATTTTCTATTATTACCAATCATAAGAATATCATCTACATAACGTTTTTATAGCATAAATTCTCCAAGCATACCTTGCATTTGTTTCTCTAACTTCGACATGAATATATATCTGCTAACAGGGGCCCCAGAGGACTCCCTACCGCAACACCGTCGATTGGTTTGTATGCCTTTTCTTGGAAGGTGTAGAAGTGAAAGAAAATTTAACAAATAAAACTCCAATGCTTAATACTCCAAATATATATATATATATATCAAAATAAAATGAGTCAATTCAGTTTCATCTTATCACATAGCAAACGCCGCTGTACCCTCCTGTCTCCACAACAAGATTTCTTCACATCCTTTTTCCATGCATTAGCCTATTAGCCATTCGGGAAGGACATGTGATGATGAGTTAACGTCGCTTAGTAAGTATTTGTGTGAGAACTGACACCAGGCCTACTGGTCATTGTTCATCCCATCTTCATAAAATCCGGCTTATCAATGATCGTGTGTGATGCGTGAGTCAGTGCCGCTACTGAGAAAGATATGCGAATTCAGTCGACGGATAAAAACGGTCAACAGATAGACAGCTGTATAGAAAGATTGATGTAAATATATAGTGTTGAACAGATAGACGTGTAATACAGAAGATTTGTAGCTCAGGTGGATGATTTGCTATTAATAGTGTTCTCTGAGCTGGTTGGTTTAGTTGCGAAGCTTTTGTCGCCCTTCTGGACAACAACTTCAGCGCAGTATTTAGCAAAAAGTGAAATGGTTTTTAAATTTCTTCATGAGTGATATAATTTCGTCTCCTGGAAACCATCTTTACATATGGTTTGACCATTTTTTATTGACTTGGATCTTAAGCTTTCTGATCACCTGTTTTACTTTATATTACTTGGTATATTTCGTCTATGTTAACGTGTTTGTTAATTGAACTATTTTTTTGATTGATGCTCTCTCTAAGGATATTTATTAAATTTATTGGCTGAATTTCCTCTTTCTCCTTCGAGACTTACTATTGCGTTTCTTCTTCTCACAGAATTTCTATTTTGTCGGCTGCTGATTTATCCCTTCTTGCATTTAATTACACATTTCACTTTTTCTGTGTGATTTCCAATGCGACTTGCATGTTGTTATGATATCACCACTTTACAGATGCTTCTCCTCTTTGTAGACTTTTACCCTGTTAACTCTCATTCAGAATAATTTATTCGTTTTTCTATTCAAAATTTAGTGTCCCTAATGTTTTGGTTATTCTTTGAAGCACAATTGAGTTTTGTCTAATAATTCAAGTCATTATTCTATGCTAGAAGACAGGTGATTTGTGAACACTTTTGAATTTCAATCATTTTTGTAGCATTCCACGCATCGCCGTTACATCTAAAGAGGCATAGAATAATTCCTTAAGTTACATTTTACTTCGTTTCCGTGAAAGTCAACATATGTGATTGGTTAGGACAAGGAGAATTGAAGAAAGTAAGCTGCATTGTTTTGGGTGCAACTTCAATCGATCCAGTGATTCATGCGAGCCAACACATTTGATGATCAGTGTTTGTGCTGATCCTTTGTGCATTTCCCTCCTTTTAGTTACTTGTTTTCTCAGTCAGTGCAACGTTTAGATGTTTGTGATTGGTGTGCTTTTTCTGAACAGGAAACACTTGAATCTTATTTGAGCTGTTGTCCTCCATTTATTTTCAGATGTAGCCAAAAGGTCTTTTTATCGATGTAAGTGTTTGCTACAGCTTGTTCTATTCAACAGCCTTTTTTCTGACAGACTAATAATGGCTGCTGGAGACGGCTTTGATAATTATCTCGATTATGGTTTACCATTGTAGCATACTGCAAATCATTCACTCAGGACAACATCTATCCAGCGTAGAAAAATCAATACCACCATGGTTATTATTAGAGGTGTAGGTATCTTCTGACAAAAATGAATAATCCAGAGCGGTTTTACCTCTACGTAGTAGAATGCATAGTGAAATGAGAGAAACATTTGATTAGGGGGATGTTTGTCTTTAGTTTGTTGACTTCAGAGATGGCTGGTTTTGTCGGGATTTTGTTTGACTTTTTGGAGGATTTCATCATGAGCAGATATCCGCTAGAAAACGATAGGAAAATCTAGGAGTGTTAGACAGTTGTCTTATCCATGTTTCGGACTCTTCATCAGTACGCACCCACTGACAGAGTTCGAACTGAGCACCTTGTGGTCACAAGGTTGGCAAGCTCGTAGAAGATTAAGCCAGTGGGACCCGTTCCAATGGCTTTCTGATTCTGATGTCTGCCAGTTGTGCGCCAACATCGCAATGTCTGCTTAGGTGAGTTATACTGCCTAACGTTCAACCTACTTTAACCTACTGCTCACGGCTTCCCACTATAACCACAGCTAACTTACTGAATAGGGTAGTCGACTCACCAATTTTCTGATTTCTAATATCACGTATTCAGCAAGAAGCAATCGTTTCATATTCGAATTCATCATAGCAAAGGATTTTATTTTTGTGTGAATTTTGTTTGACTTAGTAAATTATGCAGAGTTGATTTAATAGGTCTAGGAAAATCTTTTTTATATTTCAGATGATTGGTCGGATTCATTAGAAAGCTACAGAAAAACATACCACAAAACTCTGCAGTATAAATGTATGTGTTTATTTCACCGAAAATTATCTTATGGTTGTCTCTTCCCTTTAGACTGTTCCATAATCATTCATGTTCACTTCCTCCTCCTACTACTTATGTCTCTTGCCTTGATCCGTAGACGGCTAATCAACAAATTCAATCGCTGGCAATACTGAGTAGCTTTTAAAAATCTCTTTTACAGATGCACGTTACAGTGTAAATTCGAGGAGATATATTTCTCACATCAGAAGATGTATGTAATGTCACCTGAATATAACAACTTGCAAAACGTTATTGCAAAGTAGAGCGGGAAAATACCGATTTTACGCATGAAATAGTATCTCCTTTATTTCAGGAAGCTTGGTAATCGTTAGGAGAACAATTTGCATTTATGTAGATATTACATACTGAGATGAGTTGAATAGCAGTTAGACAGTATTGTAAACGAGACTAAGAGGCCTAATCATTTAGTACTGGTTACCAGCAGATTGTGATAAAAATATCTACATTTACCTGGAGATGTGTTTATAGTGCACGCAAGACAGTCACACTTCATGAATAATTAGCTAACAAAGACAGATAACATGATTTCATGTTGCCTAAAGGTCGACGTTTTATCTATCACAACCTTTGGTCAAGCATTAAGTAATCCACATACTTCACACCTATTTCCACCGCCTTGTACGTTTTAGTTCTCATGACTGAAATTCAGACACATGAAAAACCTCAGAATGCAGAACAAACAATGAAACGTGGTGAGTAATTTTATCAAGATATCTAAATGCCTCATGTAGATGATATAAGCCGTACATATATGATCAGGTCTTTTTTCAATCAATAGTTTTTTTTACATTTCATGCATTTTGTAGCATTACTTGTTCTTATGAATCAAAGATGCACACTTGTGGTCCTTTTGAGGATGACTGCGTACCTGGTTGGTTTGTAATCAAGCGACACAGATGGAAATCACCTCCTGGTCTATTCGTGATAACATTTATGGTAACAGAACAACGTTGACTGATTCTTATGTTTGAAATAATGACTGTCTAGTGTGTGACACGAAACATTTTGCATCAATAGAGACCCATTCACCTTCATATCTTCGCTGTCGCGTGAACTGTCATCCCTGTCTGGTGATGTGAAGCACACCATTGAAATCAATGGAATTACTTGTGCATTCAGTGGGAGATTCTCTGTGTGAACTTAATAGTGGTGGGAGCCATTTCGGCTGGAGAAGTTTTTTGGGGCTCAGTGTTGTCTGCTGCTGCTCTCTTAGTCACTATCTGCTTCTTTTTCAGATTATTATTATTATTATTATAAATACCCTTCTGAGTTACGAGTGGAAAATAGCACCTCGGCTGCATATCATGATACCATCCTTCTCTTAACATTTCTTGTAGCTGCCTCAACAACTTTCTCGCCAACATAATCTTCACCATATCACTGTCGTACAACCGCTCACCTCCACATTTCCCATTTGATTTCCCCGAAACGGACTGGCATTTGATGCCAATCAATAGTCTCCTCAATGCATTTAAGTTTGCATTTCCTTGAGGAGTAGATTCATGATTGGTCTGTCATCAAACTCCCTTTTTGCTATTGTTTTCTTTCATTACTAAGGCATTAAATTCAGGCACACGTTTGAAGCTGACTGTTATTAATGCTTTTGTTAACACGATAAGCCTCTAAATCATGTAAAGGCACTGTTTTGACGTCAGTGTTGAAGACCCAGGTTTTGCCCCTGAAAAAGTGTAGAAAAAACTCGCCTGCTGATTTGAAAGCGATGAAATTCTGTCCTGCTTTTACGGCCTAAGCTGACTGAGACGTCCTCATCCTTGAAATGATGCTGCCATTGCCATAAGTCGGTGTTGTTCATCACCTCTATTGTCCGTATGCTCACCTTTAGATGTGTCTCCCCTGACTTCTGTTTCGGCCACCGTGTTTGTCTTCACCCGCAGATCTTCCAGTTTGTGGGAGTTTAGACATGAACCTTTGGCTAATTTCAAACCTCCTTGAGTCCTTTTGTTGCAACGACCTATGACCATCGTCTTGCTGCTCAAGAACTTCTTCACTGTTGGCAATCGATTTAACTATGCTTTCCACTGTGCATCTCTTGACATGTTCCATATTCAGGTAGGTGTTTGGGGAACCGCACTCTGCAGTCGAGAAGGCTGTTGGAAGTCTTTTGAGAGCATATGAAGTTGAGATATTTGTTTAATTACAATCACGTGCTCTTTTCGATGATGAAGCCAAGCGTTGTGATTTGATCTGAAAAATGCATCACTTTTCGTGAATCAACCTCTTTTCTTAGCATCATTTAGTCTCTCAAGGATGACACGAGCTAATTTTTTTCTTGGATGAATTAGAAGCATGATTCTCATCCAGTTTGTGCGGAGGCTTAAGTCATCCTTCTTTGAAAGTTTGATAAGGTTTTCTATCATTCTAATCAGCATGTAACCTCCCTTCAAAAGCTTATGCACCAGTGGCGTAAGTCCAACGACGAGCTTCTCAAGGAATTCCATCTAGTTGTGTCGCCTTTACGGATTCCAGTGACAGTAAGGTATTCGAAAAGTCTGCCTTTGTTCGAGGAAAATTACTCACTGGGAGAAATGTGTGAACCATTGATCGTATTTCTACACGATTCGCAAGTGGTGGTCTATTGGAGAGTTTTCATCGTTTCTACACTTTTTTAGCTTCAGTAGTTTCATCCAGACTACTGACGTGTTAAACTGATGTAGTATTCGAAGGTCTTCCTTCCCTGCTATGAATTCCGCTTCACTTGTCAATATGTCACTTCTGATTCACTTATGGATTTTATGTCCATCATGGTTAGTTATCACATTCCTGAGAGTGAGATGAGGATTTTCTGTAATTGAAGTGTCCAATTGATGAAACCTACATCATTTTGTGTGTTTTATGGTTATCTGAAGGAAACAACTGGCGAGGATACAGAAGTTTGTAAAGGGTCCATCGTGCTCATGTTTTTCATCCACAACTTCCCAACCTACTAAGGGTTGGTAACTTTTCTTCTTGTCTGCTTCCATTTTTGCATTTTGATGTTGTTTTTTGAGGTCATGTACATTAAAACTTGCAGTTATCTGTAGAATTATTTCTTCTACTCTGTAAATCAAAAATCAAAAAATCAAAATCACTTCGTGCAGCAACGGAATCTAGTTTGTTTTAGTGTGTGTGTGTGTGTGTTGTGTGCCTGTGAGTGGATGAACACTAATTTGAATCGAGCATCAAAACCAGCAAAGAATGGGGATTGTTTCTGTTGGAGGAAAGTAGGACAGTGATGTGCTAGCACCGCTTGCGAAGGGTAATTATTTTGTAATCAACAAACAAATGATCAATCATTTCACAAAAACCTACATCACACAAAACGTGATGATCTCAAAACTTCTTCAACATGCAAGACCAGTAAGACAAAAAGGCGTTGTGATAACCTGAGAAGAAGAGAATGCAGAATTTCAACATCTGATATGCAGGTGACAATGAGGAAAAGTATATGCACAACATCATTTCTGTTGTCGAAATTCTCTCAGTTAATAACCTGTTTTTCAACCAACAATACGGCATCCACTAATTTTTGCTTTTTCACAGAAATTCTGAGACTTGAACATTTATATCAAAGTAAATGGGCGAAGGAATTTCTTGAATGTAAGTCCTGTCATGCAATTAATAGATTCCATGATGTTTGTGAGTCGAAATATGTGTATGTTTCCATTAGATGCATGAATGTTCACTGAAGATAAACATGATTGATTATGAATTCAAATGAACTGCAGTGGAGATGACTAAAAGAAATCAACTAATCCACAAATAAATCATCAAAGGTTGTAGTTATTTGAGTGTTATCTAGGTGTCAGTAGAGCACAGTCAATTCTCTCAGGAAGCAGTCTGCAAAATATTATGGAGAAACAAGTTGAGGGATGAGTTTTGATATACACTTTTGTAAAGTACTCCAGTACACATCTTTCCAAAGCGCAAAGAATTAAATACTGAATTTCAATATAAAATGTCACTACACCAGTCCGTTTGCAGAATAAATGTCGTTGATTAACTTTTCATCAATATTATTTCCAATGCAGAAACAGTAACGTCAAAAACGGAAAACTTATGTAACGCCTCAAACAAGTTGCTTTGCTGTACTTTTCTTGTCTGGAAAACCTTAGTTCATATTTCGCACTTTCTTACTGTCCCTTACTTAACATGCTTCCGAGTACAAGTAAATTATAATTCAAAATTATCTACAATTGTACAGCCATTGGTGCCAAAGATAAGAAGCTCGTTAATCTTTATAACGGTAGGTTATTTCATCGTTAAGTAATAAACAGAATACATGTGACAAAATTATTTTGTATCGGAAGGCAAAAGCATCTTCTAATTTTTTGTGGAATGAATGAAATCCTTTGGTGTGACAGATTTCACTGAAAATATTCATGTCTATTTTATTTGACCTGTGTAACAATTGAAGTAAAGCTGTTGTATTTAGGCTATAGGAATACAGTCTAATCGATTTATTAAAATGTTGTGAAATTTCTCGTCATGACAACCACTAGTGACGCATTCAATATTTCGTATTAAATAGCGAAACATTTTCCCCCATCATCCACTTTCTCTACAATGTCCTCTTCAATATAAGCTTGTTCAATACATGATACAATGAAACAGCATGAATCATTGATAACATTCCGAATATAATTTATAGTCCATAGATATCTCAAGTTAATTTATACGACATGAAACCTTTGACTACTTATTTCTACTCTATTTTCATCAAATATCGATTGGTTGAATAAGTCCAGAGCTATTCAGTTACATTATGAAACTACTAATCTTATGCGTTCTCTGCCTTCCTAGGTGAAACATCGATTTGCTCACTCACAACGAATCTTTCTGTCTAGAACAATAGCATGAGTGCTAATCGACGGCCTTATCTTAACCAAAACGGATTCAGTGAACTATCCGCTGTGAAGAATTTTTCATGTGGCATAATCGTATGCCTACTGAGTGAGATGCGTCGGTATATGTGACACTTAGCAGTGTCGGTGAAGCAAACAAGTTACTTCATGGTCGATGCTGTCGAAAGTATCCGTAGATTCGATAAGGACACGGTAACCAGTTGACTGCCATTCTTTCTCATGTTTCAAGACGATTCAGTATTGTGAAATTATATCTATGCATGATTTGTCTTTCTTCAAATGAAATCAATCCAAGTGGCAACAGTCATTCGTGATATCTGTTGAGAGACGTGTACCTTACTGTTATATCTGCAAATGGATTAAGGATGATTTTGAAGGTTAAATACTTCTCGAAATGTCATCTGTTTAAAGATGGACTTGATTCACGCGTTCATACTATCACAGTGTTCAAATATATACTGCAAATTTTTGACTACTAGGGGAATTAAATATATACGAAACACTGCTTCCTTTCTTTGTAGATGAATACAAGAAGGCATTGGAAGAAGATACTGCTATTGACCACAATGTTTTCGGTATGATTGATTTTTCTTAACTACAATTTGTAATCTAAAATTCGATGGTCCGTTGAAATTGAGTTGCCAGTTCTGTGAAAAATGTACACAACATTTTGAACTGGTGTTTGTTCCGAGTCATCTTTCAAATCTGCAATCACATCTGCTCCTCAACCTCATACATTTATGAGCAAAATTCCTTGAGGAAGATTTCTTGAAAATTTCAGAAGATTTCTAGGTTATCTCTCTATTGACCGATGACATTATAGTCAATAATGATGATGATGATGACGATGATTTTCGTATTTGTGTATATATGTAGTGGTTTTGGTTCCTACGCATCCATAGAAACCAGTTCACATCCACAAGGCGTTATGCATACGTAAATTGAAACCACTGGAATCTCTTGGATGCCTACAACTAGGTCATCTAGATAAGGAAGGACATCTAGATAAATTACCACTGTCGTCATGTTGGAGGAACACTTCACAGCTCAAATATTCATATCTTACAAAGCTACCCTGGTGAATTTTCCTTTATTCCTACAGTTCATGAGGGATTATACAGTATGTTGAACACCAGTATTTCAAGTAAATGGGAAATTCGAAAAAATCTCGATATTACAGAAGGTAAATCTTTTATCATTATTATCATTATTCTATAGAAAGGAATTAAGTTATTTAATATTTCGTAAGAAAGTGAATGTTATTTTTCTGTAATAAGGCTGGGTGCGTTATGCTACAGCAAAACTTTTCATTCTTACACAAAATTTACCACAGCACAATGGAAGGCCGATGTTTTTTTCCCTTGAACATGACACTCACGAGTGTGACATCTTATTCAGAAGCGAGAAGGGAAATGTGATGCATCACATACTGATTGTCTGTAATAAAATCACGCATGAACTGGTGACATCGCAGGGGAAACCGACATTTTGTCAGAGTGTTCTTCATATTTCTGGTTTATGTTCACAATCGTGTGAATATTGAGGCTTCTTCAATTTCAACGATTTTTTCATCAGCACTGATATTCACGCTTGACAGAGGATGATGGGAATATATTTGTGCACTGACGCGCTCTCCAAATAACTGAGAGTACCAAGTAAGCAAGTTAACCTGTGTATTGGTGTAATTTAAATTGACGTCAGCTGAAACCGTATTTAAATAGATTGCTTGATGTTGGATTCATCATATACCTGGAGGTTGAGCGACCGTGCGATTTATCAATTGCAGGTAATTATGTTGCGGAGAAATCAGGCGATTTGAAGAAAGACGAAGGTTGGTTTTCTTTCACTTTGTAATTCATCTTATTAACCAGGTTGAAATATATCTCGTCATTTTGTTAATAGTAGTTTCTCTGAAGTAATTATTATGCATATTCACAATTGATATTTATTCGTAACAAGCCATATCTGAACATCCTTCATGACAGTCAGATTCAGAAACTAGTTGATTGTTGGACTAAATTAACAAGTTGTTAAAATATGTGTAATAGCTGTTTGCACACATCTGAACAGTCTAACTGCCCGGATTTGTTTAGCGTCAGCGTATTTAGTAATGATACACAACAAACTTTTGTCACAATATCAAATTCTAGATAGGTGGATTTCTATCGTGACTTCGTTCCCTGAAAGACTGCCTTGATGAGCAATGTGTGGTGAAATCTCTGAAAATGAACACTGTTCTTCACATCTTTTCACCGAAAAGTACAAAGTTTATTGAGTGGTTTTACTTTTATTCAGTGTGAAACGTGTGTGTTTCTGCGTTTGTCAACATCCACGCCTTGCGAACTATAGTTTACCCGGAAATAGTGGAGAAAAATATATTCACGTAGTGAAGTATCAGTGTAATGGTAGACGACAAGAGACTTGGTAAAGCAATGCTTATATGGAATTTAGTATCTCCAAATTGCCAAATAATGTACACCTTATCTTCAAACCACCATTTGCACAGATCTTCCGTGCTGAGCTACTTCTATCCTTTATATTGCATTCCTTTGTGTTCCTTTCGCGTCTCTCATGTTTCATCGCAACGCTGAATAATCTGCTCTCTCTCTCTCTGACTTAAAATCCATCTTCCTGCTATTTGATGTTTAAAATGCTGGTGAACGTCTCTTTATATTCTACCGATAAATCGTATCATTGGTACAGGCCAAATCAGTTCATAACATACAGAGCCCCCCTAAAGTGTAGCATCACCTTATAAATACAACTTGTAGCTTGAGAAACCACTGACACGATTAACCATTCAATGATTTGACAAATTATTGTATAAAAGTTTAATATTCTATGGAAGCGATGGCTGTTGCATATTGGACAAAGTCAACATTGAAGATGTGTACAAATGCAGTTTACACCTCGTGAATATATTTGTTTTACTGATATTGGTAACCATTCAGAATGTCACCTTGTAAGTTAGACATTACCGATGGGATAGCCATGTATTCTAACAGTCAGTAGCCATTGCGTTTATATGGCTATTTCATGTTAGAGAAAACACACACAAAAAACATTTCATACTTTTTGACTTTGTAAATTATAGCCCAAATTGAAATGATAAGGAACGACTTTGCGAAAGCGAAGGAAGCATTTGAAAAATCCAGAGGTAAACTGACTCTGTCAATTTGTATTGCACACTACGTTCACGAATAATAAACTGTTGGCATGAAAATACACTCATCATTGTGTTTATTGTTAATCGTTAGGTGCTCTATTTAATCATCGATAACAGACACATTGACTGGGTTGTATTAGATTTTTTCTCACCACTGATACTATAACTTCTCAGAATTATAAGAAGGTGCAAATTCACCACCAAAGAGTCGAGACTATTTTCGTGAAGAGTTGAGTGTGCGTCTGAAAATTCAGAGTTTTTTTAAGAAAAAAATGTGTTGAGAAATAATCAAATTATTATGAAACATTTGTAGTTATTAGTGTTCTCTGAGCTGGTTGGTTTAGTTGAAAAGCTTTCTTCGTCCTTCTGGACAATATCTTCATTTCAATTCATGGCAAATATTGCACTGAAAATGTTGTCCAGAAGGACGACGAAAGCTCTGCCAGTTAACCAAATCTTCTCTATTATTATTATGAAACGTTTTCAGATCGTCTACATCAATATTGCATTCAGTATGATGATGATAAAAATATGACATTCACGTTTCCTGACCAACAGACAGAATATCATTCAACACTTCTTGTTTACTTAGCTTACCTTAGAGTGTTGGAAAGGAGAGCAGTCATCGCATCGATAGCATACAGAAATACTGCAAGTGAGTGAATACATATTCAACAATTTTCGATTAGTTTACTTTAAAGCACAATGAAGCTATCGGCAGGTTTAATACGATTCACCGCTACCGCTGGATAAACGTGATGATGATCATGTACAATAAGTAGGCGTGTTTAATTGATCGTCAACACACTGACGTATAATAATAATCATAATTTACCACAACTATTCAGTAATTTCCATTCTCAGCTGTACGAATGACACGGAATTAAGATCGACTTACACTTTGCTTGATATTGGGAAGCACACTGAAGAATAGATGTAGTGTATATCTTCTCAAAATATAAGTTTATTAGTTATACCAAAGGTGTCACTTGCTGTACAAGTGGAATAGTTTACACTATCGTAGAATAAAATTCGATATTTGATTAGTTAGTTGAAGTTCACGCAAAATGTCAGTGTTCGAAACTGAATGACGTGTCCAGGACAATTTATCTCTCATATCATACGATTGTATTATTATTATTATTACTTAGATTATTTGCGAACATGGGATAAAGAAATAACAACAGATGGTGAGCGAACACTTTTATCCTGCTTAAAATAATCCCAAGTTAAAGTTGTATTCATCACTAAGCTTCATGCGATTCGTATTTGATTGAAAATAAAATGACACTTACACAACAAAAATCTTCAGAACTTCATGTTTAACAGAGAATGAGATCATTATGATGTGATTATGGTGACTAACTCGGTGCTACAAATAATGAAAAATTTGATCGTCAACAAGCCATCATGGAATGAAGTATGAACAAATATGAGCAAAATGTTACTGAACATTTTGAATTAGCGCAGTGACTCGTTTTCCAAGATCTGTAGTTTAAAGATGATGTGAATTTGAAGACGGCCGATCAATCAGATGATAAGTAAAAGTAGGAACTCATTCAGTAATTGAAAATATGAAGCGCGTAAATTACTTACACATATCTCATTCCACACTGAATGGATTTCTATGACGTATTTCTCTTCAATACTGTCAAGTACGTATGCGACTAGGAATTTGATAATGAGTTGTTATTCATTTCAGGCTCATCGAATGATGCTGAAATTACAGAAGCCTATTGGAAGGCTCGTACTGATTTAGCCGAAGCCACATGTAATTTTACATAGTTATTTGATTTGATCACATTTGATATTTCATAGTTCTAGTGATGAATGCACTTTTCAGGGGATTTCATTTTCGTTTCGTAAATGAGACAGAAGTAGTCTGTGTGCCTAATGACGTGTATATCAGCAAGTTTTCGTAGTCGCTAATACCACATACGGCTATATCAGAGACAAAATTAACAATATAACTAGTCACACTTATATCAGAATCCGCAAATTGCTGACAATTAGGTCTGAAATATCAATGCACAAAAGCGTCAAATCAACTGCTCCAACCTATTCGGATAAAGCTTCAGTAACTTAATCAATAATCATATATTTTGTGAAGTTCAGGATAACAGCAGTTTCATTGAAACTAGATGATATGATCGAATACATTGAGATTTGAGCTTTTTTCCATCTTGTTGAAGCATGACATTAAAACTACTACTGATACATCACACTGACAATCTGTTCGCTGTTTCAGTGCAACTTGCTAAATCAATAGAACGTTTGGAAATCAAGAGGGTTGAATTTTTGAAATGTAAGTTGAAATACTGAAATCATTTCAAACTGCCTAGATCAAACCCCAGAAGATAGAATAAACTGGATCCTGGCTGAAATGAAAGAAGAAGCCAAACAGTCTTATTGAAGTGAGTTTCTGCTTAGATTCTGAGTGTATTTTAAATTTTTAACTAACTGAGCAATTGAATATGAACTTGAAGATGGGTTATGCTGTTAGCTGAAGTCAGCTAATAGATGATTGCTTGGGAAATAAATAACACTAAAATTCTGTCCGTTCTCATTTTTCGTTTGTGTCATCACTTTACAAATACGTCATGAACTACCACCTACTGGCTGACTGGTCACATGACCACAGTTGACCGCCTGTGCACAATATCTCGTCCGAAATAACTGCTGAGAACATCGTATATTCAGGTGTTGCTTCTCATATCAGTTTTCCTGTGAGGGGAATTAGAATTTAGAAGCAAGTGAACAATGTACGCACCCGCTGTGTGTTTTAATCTTCACTGGAAGTATAACCTTAAGGGATAGTGTCATTGTTGATTAAATAAAAACTTGTCATCACTAATTTCTGCTGTAAAAGATAGGTGTCTACTTTCAATACAGTTGTATTTTGCTTCCGGTTTCATTTTGTTTCAGCTGCAGGAAATTGAATTCGATTCCCAGGGAAATTCAAGCAGTATTGGTGAAAGGAACACATTGTTTGCTTATCTGTTCTTTTTTTGTTTAATTAAATATAAAATTTTCCTTCGTAAGGCCTTTTAAAAATGTGGTCTTTTTATTCTAGTAGAGTGAGTGAGTTATGTGAGAATGAAGAGACTAATTGCAAGCAATAGGCTAACCACTACTGCACAACTCGAGAATTATCGTTTTTACTGATGAAGTGTTTTGATTAGCTGCGAGGAAGTGTAAATGAGGAGAAGTTTTATTGTTTACCACAGAGAATACAAACCACGTTTACACACGAAGAAATCCCTTCACCTCGATATTTTCAAGCTATTTGATACTCGCATTTCAAGGATACTCGCAATGTCAAAGAAGACTTGTGAAGATCTAGCGACGCGAAGATTGATGGCAGGGTGGTTTGGTTGTTTATAGGTTATTTCGTTAACCACAGTGTACAGCATAATATTTTGAATGTAAATATCCTCAGTCAAATGATGCGTCGTTCGAATGCTGCAAATTCGTCATCCGTGTTATGAAGACATATCATTGTCATAGAATGACGAAATTTAAAGCCTCACATTTTTATTCCATGTAATTAAGTCAACAGTATGTTTTGCGAGCTCCTATTGCCACCAAATTGAAATTCCTAATTATTGGGATAACGGTGAGTATGAAACCTGTCAGAAATTTCAAGCAGGATAGAGAATAACTTGAATTTCGTGTATACCTAAATTTAGTCGAATTAAAGGAGAGACAGTGAAATGCAGACTCTGTTAATACTAAACTAAATCGTGTACAAACGTCAACGAGTTGCCCATTATATCACAGTCGAGTTGGAGATAAGTTGTTTATTTCTGCGAAAGTGACATATGCAATTGACAACTAGATGGTGGGCGAATGAATGCGTAAAGAGGATTTCCAATCGTCAAACACGATTCTCGTCCCTGATAGTCAAAATCTGCAAAAACTTCCACACGATCACATTTGCAAAATCTGCCATGTCATAGGGTGATTTTCAGCAAGTTCTTGCATGCATTTTTCCAGCTGTTTGTCTGTGTGTGAATGTGTGTTTGTGTCAGTGGTTTGTTGATCAGTTTATCGAATGAATGAATGAATGGATGGATGGATGGATGAGTGTTAAGCGAATGATAATTGCAGGCACATGTGAATACGTCAATAAATACATACGTTCGTAGTCAATTGATTGTTGAATGCATGCTTATCATCATAACCACCATCAAATTGCTCGGATGTTAATCTCTAAAACACTGAGAGATGGGAAGAGAGAGGTGAAAATGCCTTTTAGTGATGACTGAAATATACTTGTTCCTTGGTTATCCTAGTGATGACGAAATGTGTCGCTGATTGTGTATGAATTATAGATGGGTTATCCTTCACATGCTGATGAATATTTATGGGACAGGGCGGATAAAGTCAGTGGTCAGTGAGTCAGGCAGTCTGACAGTCAGACACTCACCGCATAGAGTGAGAACGTATGAGCAGGAACCCGAACGACGAGATTGGTCGAGTGATGCCTGTCAGTGTTGACTGAAGGAAGCCTTGATTTCTGCCAGTCAGGACTTTATCACCACTATCCATTCCACAATAGGAGAATTTCGTGAGTAGTGAAATCCAACACTGATACAGTATTAAATAATTAATTAATTCATTAGAGTGTGCTTTTATCATCTAGTGCATTTCTTCCTTGTAGGGTGGAATCCAACTATGGCGTGTCACAGTGTATGCACATACTCTGCTCTCCTCATATGTACTACGACTGCCTAATAATTAATGTGATTTGGGACTTCAGTTGATTTCGACACTTCGCTGTCATCTCATGTTACCAAGGTAGTGGTTGCAACCGATCAGACGCGAAAGTTAAGCTAACGGGAGAATCGATGACTTCACAGTTGATGAGTAGAGAAAGCATGACAAAGTAAAAATCACATATCACTGATGCACTACTCGCTCGATGAATGCATGTCTACTTATCTGAGTCTCATTGGGGATGCCAGTTCGTCAGCTTTCTGATGAATGCATGGAAAGATGGCTGAATATGAATTCAGATTCGATTACATGAGGCGAGATGATTGTCAGCTGGTTAGTGTTTGTCTGGTGTAGGCATTATCGAGTGAATTGACACAAGCTACATAGCATTGAGAAGACACCATGAATAGTGGATAGATATGGTGACTGCAGAAATTGACGATTCGTCATTGGTTGAGATTCAGATATCACAGATATGTAGGTGTACTGTATATTACTACAGTGATGAATACTGAAGACTAGTCACCATAATAGGACAGAGGTAATAGTGAAATAGTAAAATGGACAGAGAAAAAGAGAGTGAGTGATGAATTTGTAGTTGGAAATGTGGTGAGAGTGGGTGAGTATGATTCACTCCGTGTTTTTTATGTGTTTGTGCATGTGTGCGCGTGTCTTTTGGGTGTAAGAGGTTTGTTCTTCCCCTACACTTTGTGTGAGCTTCAAATAATGATGATCACTGTAAGACTGTTGAGTATGCTATATGCTACCTGAGAGCCTTTTGTGAGGAGGAGGAGGAGAGGAGGAGTAGTGTATGTTCATGTATGTCTGTGCAATTCGCATGTGTGCCTGTCGTGTTTTCGTTTTAAGGGAGAGGGATAAATGGAGATCGAGATGGATAGACAGACATGCATTCAGACAGATGAATGTGTGTGCGTCTGTGAGCGACACCGAAAGAGAATTGTGAGACTTTCTCGCACTGATAAAAATTACGCTAAGCCTCTACTAGAAAACAGGTCAACATGATAAAGCTACCCCATCAACAAAAACACATCTTTATTCACCTACATTCATTTCTCTATTAATAACAACTGGGCATCTGTGCTTATGTCTTGTAGGCACATTGTTTACCACTATCTATGCCACATCTGCCTCCTACCTTTATTAATTAATTAATTAATGTTTGTGGATTGTGTATAATCGAATGTTTGTGAATAGGTTTATAGTTCTATTCGATTAAATGAATAGAAAAACAGAATTTTTTCTCTAAATCAAGTTGTTTTCATGCTATTTATATATGTGTATGAGTGTTTTGAATTACCGTCAGCTATCGAGGCAATTTTCTGTGGTATGAATGCAAGCCGCACTTCTATGTTCCTCTATTATTTCTGGATTTAGGACCGGTTTGTAAACTAATCACCGAGGAAATCAGCTAAATCCTCAACATTTCAGTCAGCTCAGTGTTTTTTTTCTCCATACTTCAGAGACTCGGTGTGTCACATGCGAAAGCTTTGTGCAGTTTATCCTCAGCACCTGTCAATGTTAGTTCGACAGTGAAGACCAGATATTTGAACAGAAATGATAAGCGATAACGAACACTGTAACGAGTCATCTAAAAGCGTTTAGCCCATCAAAATAACAGAAGATGACTGAGATAGATAGGACATTTACTGAAAAGACTGTTGAGTAACATCATGCATCATGTCCTCTTGTGGATTGTGAGGGTTTCGTGTGAGGATGAAATGGAATTTTACGAGCAGTCTTGTAGCCAGCTGTGAACAAGACTGCATAGAACAGAGTGAAATCGAATTTGCTGTTGTTGTTGTTGTTGTTGTTGAGACGAAGGCAGTAGAAATAGCACCAATGTATTCTTATTCCTTTATCTTCAATCGTTCGGTTTATTGTTTGACACAATGCATGACAAGCAAGAATAGTAGTCAGTCATTGGATATTGTGAACAAATACTGCAAAGATGAAAGTCATCACACAATCATGTCTGTCAGAAAACATTCGGAAATCAGGAATTACTAAACGGCTTTATTTTTTTTTTTTTTTTAGTTTGTGGCTGCTCATCAGCACTTAGTCGCCAATGATATTGGCGCTATGAATTAAGAGCATATCATGAAACACTCGTATCAGTTCATCAAGTGCCTAAAAGCTAAACAGGGTCACTTCGCAATCTCAAGCCCCTGAGATCTCGGTGGTATCTCGGTGGCCTTTAGGTGCGTTGTGCTGAAGAGTTTTGGACTAGGGTCGAACAGCAGTTCAGTACTCCATAATTTACAATGATACTCTGAATGATATCAGTCCTATCCAACCACCTAGAAACTTACCGTCTGAAAAAATAACTTCACTGATTTCCTAATATTTGAATGAATTTCATGACGACAATTAGAATGAGAATATGCATCTTCTAAAATGTATTTTATTGCTCAATACTAACTATTTCGAGCATTGTGTTTGTGGTTAGGATGCTTATAATGTTCACATTAGTAAACTAGTTACAGGAAGCATAATGTGACTACTGCTCGGTGAAAGGTCATCAGAATCTCGGTGCAAATACAGAAGTATACTCAGTGTGTGTTTAGCTTTCAATTCATTCAGACATACTGAAATGAAAATATTATTATTGAAATTATTGAAAAGAGTATTCTTCGATCAGATTGACTTTTAATTCATAAAAATATTAAATTCATAAAACAGTAGACACGCCTTATACATTGCTTTACACTGACGTCATTGCATGGAACACGGAATATTTTCGTGATTTACAGTAACAAGGATACCTGAAAATTGCTGATTTGCCTATCATATACCCAAATGACGTCGAGTGATTAGTTCTCTCCATATCTTACCGAGGTACATTAGCGAGGATACCTGAAAACTGCTAATTGTGCGTCAGTGGCACAGTGGTTATGACTCTCGCCAAACATGCACAAGGTCCGGGGTTCGATCCCCTACCGACGCACACCTGATATCTATGGTCGGCCTGCAAAATTTGGGCTACCGATATCACATGCTGAAAATTCCATACATGTACCAAAAAATACTGTGTGGAATCAAGCTTTAGTCTGAATCAGAATTTGACTATCATCTAATTAAATGACGTAGAATGGACGGTTGACTCCATCTTAAACAGGATATAAGACTACATAAAGTTGAACATGCTAGTTATTACTGGCTAGAGTCTATAAATTCCTTCAGAAGCATACTCATAGTACTTAGTATAATACAAATAATCAATCCCTATAACATGACATTATTTGCAGCACCGCTCACATGGTGTGGTACAACGTTGTTCATATTTCACATTATATAACCACTTCCCAGAGAATATACAATCAAGCCTACAGAACTTATGGAATAAGATGAGGGTAATGAACACAGAAAAAACAATTTTGTCGGCAGTGTGAAAATGTAGCCTGCATTTTCAAATACAGTCCTTGAGTGATGTTTTCGAAAAGGTAACCTGTCTGTCAAACAGTGAGTATGAAATGTTTTACCCGTTCATAGAATGCACTTTTACGCTTCTTAGTTCAATCTGACTAATTCAGTACCGAATAAATGAATAAACCAACGTATCGCTGTTTGAACATGAAAAAGAGGAGGAATGATCAGCTAAGCTAGATAATCATTTCTCATTCCTGATTTTTATTTGTTTCATAAATCACTTTTCCGGAATCTCTATTCAGAAATCACAAAAGATATGTTACTTGTTGATATGAGGACTGATTTTTTCTCCAACTTATGTATGAAGTCCGAGGGCTCAAAATCGACAATACACATAACACCATTATCAAGCAAACTCATCTTTTGGTAATCCAAGTGGACGACTCTGGTGGGAATCCATGGCTTGAGCACACCAACTCCTCAAAAACTGAGCGGGTATTCGTCCTAAACTCTGCCCTCGCTAAATATGGCTCGTAATGGTCAGAGATGCCTAATGGAAAGTGTCAGTCTTGTGATGCAAACATAACTAGTTGGACAGAAGCAGTCGGCTCAAAATGACAATTTCTCCTCCACATATCTGGTGATTATTGTCTACTGATTCGATTAGTCCATAGCTCAGTTGAAAATAAAAGGAGTTTCTTATATTTGTTTAACTGAGAAACAGTTTGAATTGCATATTTCTGAGAGACATTGAGATGCACAGGCTTTTTCTTTTAACATTCATCATTTCAGAAGTGATAAGTGTGCGAAACAATCGCATATGTGTAGATGCAAATTTATTCTCTTTAATGATCACATCGTTATTTGCGCATTGTTAATGTTTAAGATGTTTTATTGTATTTATCAGAATACAAATTATGGTGCAGGCGAAAAGCGATTTCACTTCACAGAAAGGGAACATGATTAACATTAAATCAGTGTTAAAATGATAAATATCAAATCATGATTAGGAAGCACAGGTTTACCGCCACTCTCGGCCATATACCACAAACAAATAAACTGCAAACCATTGACTAATAATCACTGTTATTTCTTCCTTATTTTAGGCAACAGTGAAGTAGTATATACTATGACGAAAAGGCAGAACATTAGTAACCAGAGAATAAAAGCTTCAACAAATTGCGATGGATACGGCGAAAACCACCATACTACCATTTCCAATTTGTTTATAAAGCCGAATATTAACTAGTGATGCAGAGAGAAAAAGCAAAGACAGAATACATGAGCTGAAATTCACATTCCATAGTAATCAGTTAGTACTTCTGTGACAGTTCATTACACTGATGTACATTCTGATTTACGGGATAAAAGCTAGACATATCATTCCACGTTATAGAATCTGAGGAATTATATAGTGAATCATGTCTGATGAACATTTCATCTACTAAACTACTTGTATACTTACCACAAGCTGTGACTACAAAAAATGCTTTTGCGATTAACTTTCGTCGTTTGCTGTTATCTGGATTCACATGTGTGCATCTTTCAGGATGACAGTTTGTTACAGCTCAGTTACTGTTATTAATCTTTTGACTCTCATTAAGAAGAGCATAACTACGGTGCGTCGGTGGCACAGTGGTTAGGACTCTCGCCCACCATGCACATGGTCCCGGGTTCGAGCCCTCGCCGACGCACGCCTGATATCTATGGTCGGCCTGCGAATTTTGGGCTACCGATATCCACGCTGAAAATTCCATACTTGTACCAAAAATACGGTGTGGAATCAAGCTGTAATCAAAAATAAAAAAAATAAAAAATAAATAAAGTTTACCTGTGACCTAATGGCTCTTTCCCATATGAATTCTACTTGGGTGTTGACACAGCACACAACGACACTAAAAGTCTTTTCTGTGTGTGTGTGTGCGCGCTCAATTTACCAATATTCCCCCGCCATTGTTGCTTTATGGAGGTTCTTCGTAGGCTTGTCCCACGAATTTTCTGTTACTTATCCGTTGAGGCTGACTATTTAACCCTCGTTATGCAAGAAAGCAGGTCATTGTTGATGAGTCTGCAGTTGTCTATCCAAAAGACGTCTATTGAAACGTCGCATGAAGTCTCTAGATCATATAGAAGTAGTGTTTTTACATTAGTGTTGAAAATTTTAGAAACTTGTCCTTTATGCTGGTTAACCCAGATCTCCATATTGACTTCAGACTCATGAATGTCTTTCCAGGATTTCATGGCTGGCTTTGATGTTATCATCCATGTCACTTGCAGTAAGAACGGTACTGCTTGAATGAGTAAAAGAAATGACCACAATGGTGTTTCTTTTTATTGCTAACCTCTTTCGGATCTGCGATCACTTGAAGTTCCATCTTCTCTGTCGACGTCTTCTGCCAACTTGTTAGTGTCCACCTGTAAGTTTTGAGTTAGTGTAATTTTAGACATAAGTCGTCTAAAAAGTCCTAATCGTCTGAAGTTTTTATATCACTCCAGTGTATTACAGTCTCCTCTCATCCATGGTCTGCCGCATGATCCATTTCGGCTAGGTTGTCTTAACTGTTAACATTAATATTATTTAACTTAAATTTGTATCATCCCCTTTATTGTAGGCTAATTGGACTGATGTGTGCTTGATGTGTATTTGTGGACGTGAATTTTGTGCTTTATGTATAAAAGGCTTATTATACATTTATTATACTTTACCTATATACACCATCATGCTAATTACACAGTTAACATCTATTGTTGATAAGATAGATGTTGATGTAGATAAGATAGATCGATAGATGGATAGATATCGCGTAATATTTTTATTTGGCTGCTCACCCTTTTTATTATCATTCATTTCAGATCTCTTAAGAATAACTATGCGTTCTACGAAAAAACCTAACCGTGTGTTATTATTTGTCTTATGGTATAATATTGAACAAGAAATACAATCACAAACACTTTATGGCATTGCAAATGATCAAATTAGAAGTGCTTACATCTTTAAATTTCCCCACGGACTTACAGTTTCTTAAGAACCACACGTGCATGTGATTTCGTAGCCTCAAAATCAATTTCTTGAAACTAGTTGCTTGTCTGAATGATGTGTCTCTAATGCTGTCATGATAGTTCAAGTAAGACGACAGATTGATATCTGTTAGAAGATCATTGAAAACCAAGGACAACTGGAGTCATCGCCAACGAGCACCAACTGAGGTTCCAACCAAGGTGACAACGTGAGGACATAAACCATTCGGCCACACAAATGAATGCCTCATGAATTCTAACTTCCACAAATGAATGCGTCATGAAGTGACACGAAACACCTGTCGATTTTCCCTTGCTTTCACTGTTTCTCTCACCCACCAGCAATCCATGGCTAAGCCAGAAACAAATCAAATCCTCATTACACTTGAACACTTGACTTTGACAATTACCGTTTAATTGAAAATGTAATCGTATTGAGTTCATGAATAAACTTACGCAGATTACGAATAAACCAAAGAAAAATGCTGACAAGATTTTGAAGATTGGCTTCTGAAATATACAGAAAAAGATGGCAAGTTTAGATGATAAGTTTTGTTGGCGAAGTTAAACTTTCGACATCACTAACTACCAATCAGCGAATTATCCAATGAGATTCACGAACGATGTCGAATTATCCAATGAGGTTCACGAACGCAGTTCAATGTTGTATAGCGCTTGATTCATTTCTAATGCGTGACCTTACAAGGCTGTTGTTGCAATTCGAGGAGGTTAGTGTTTCCCAGTATTTCCTAGATTTCAGTTGCTCCGGAAAGAACGAATTTGATTGTGTGGTGTTATCATGACTTTAAAAAGCTAAACCAAATCAACTGATGGGTTGGTTCATCGTTGTGCTATATGATTGGAGCCTATTAACACTAGAGAGGGTATGCTGATAATTTTATTATTTCGTAGGAACGTTTTTGCTAGGTCGCTTCTCTCCCTAAGCATAGCAGATAGAAAAGCAACTACTCTTGTACCTATTGTTACCAGAATTGTTAAGCGGGGGTCAATTATACAAACGGAAAGGCTACAATTCGCTGTCATCTCTGGGATACATTCATCGTAGAGACAACCATTCAAGTGATTTTGTGGATCCCGTTACGAGGACACATACAAATTCTAATGAAGGATTTTGGGGCAGGTTGGAAAATAGGATAAGGGCTATAAATGGATCTCAAAAGGATCTCATTTATAGTCATTTGGATGAATATATGTACAGGATATGGTGTAACTTCGCCATTGACAGTCCCATGCTGAACTGGGAGATTTTTCTCTCACATGTTCGAGAAAGATATCCCATGTAACCTTTTTTATTATCTATTTTATGCTTTTTTCTATAAATATACATTTCCATTCATCATATATGCCTCTTTAATGTGATTGGTCCATTCGAGGTCGTTTGCTGATTGGTTGTTAGTGGTGTCGAAAGTTTAATTTTGTCATTTTGTTTAAGTGATCACACTCACATAATTACCGATACTGATGTATCATATTTACAGGCTAGGGAACCGTCAAGAAACTAGGGAGTACTGAACAGCCATTTTGTCACACAGATTAAGAATCTTCAACAATACGCGATTGCTGAAGTTCAAAAGCAGCACCTTCAGAGTCATCGTTAAGTCTCAAACGTCGTTTAATGCAGTGAAAGAGATTTACAGCAATGTCGGTACTAGTAATTATAATTTTCAAACACAATGATCACTAATGAATGCTAGGTAAAATGGACGAAAATATCTTCTTTTTGAATAGTCTGAGATGTGTGACTGCTGTTACCATTCATTCATAGAATGGCCAACTCAATAATTCACGTATAACGAACGCATTTGTGATTTTTCAGTGGTGAGCCAGTTGTTTATGATGAAGTCACAAATCATACAGTTGTTAGAAAATCCACTCAATGTCATTTGAGTGCCTATAAATATCCGCAAAGACTGAGTATTTGTTATTTACGATATAAGGCACTGAATCCTCGTTAAAATGAGAAGGTGATTTTTATTCCTGCATCCCATACAATGCAGTCTCAATTCGACATCCGGGAATTATCTATTGCACTATGGTTGAATGCACAGTTTTTTCAATGGTAGTTTACATGTCTACATGTTTCAAAGCACAATAAGATGGATGACACGTTTCATTTGGTTGTTGGTGCTAAAAACGTATTGACAGGAATCCGGAATTTTTTAGCTTCCAAACGATTGGGTTCTAGCCTTTCAATACCCCAGAATAAGGAGGAATTCACTGGTCAAACAGAGTTTTGTTAATCACGTGCATTTATGGATAAACTTACATCTGGTTGCATGGCGACACTAAATATTATTAGGACGACTGATAAAATCAAAAAGTTAATTGATATTGTAGTAAAGACAGTCAACTGATCATCATCCATTGATGGTAATTTCCGTGCCAACCCCACAGTCAGGATTGTAATCACAGTTGTCAAAATTAGTGATATAAATCCATAGAACATGTCAACAGATCCAAAGCCGGCAGCCAAGCTCACAGACCACAGCAAAACCTACAACGATTAAAATTGAAGAGAAAATAATTGTTTAACAACTAGAAGCTACGTTTAGAATAAAATATTTTGTTATAGTTCAATCTTTTGACGTATTTTGGTTCCGGATAAACGGCCATATGCTCGATCTCAAAAGAGCGAAACCACTTCCTTGTATTTAAGTTAATTAGACGGTACCAGCAAGTAAGCATCACGGGTTGGTGGGTGTGATGCATGTTTTGAGCAACCGAGGAGATCAAGCTGAATTTGCAAATAGGAATAAATAATTCATTTTAAAGTTAATTTTCATATTCTCGTTGAATAACTGGGAATAACGTCATTCAATATGGAGTGCAGGTAAATCAAGTTGTTCAGTCCTGAATACGATGAAATGGGCATACTCTGAGTTCCAATGCTAATCACTGTTTATCAGATAACTTCACATTAACCCACAGTCATCGCTGAACCGTACGTAATAGTTGTCAACATGTTAAAATACGCCGGACATTTCCGTGTCATCAATCGACGGAAAAACTGCAATTGTCCTCAAAAGCGAATAATAACTGGAAACCATTTCCAAAGATGTAGATCTCTTGGACTTGGAGGTATAGTGCTGTGACGTTTGAAATCATGGGTTATCGACTTTAGCCATTAAGGAGCACCACCACTCACTGGAGAATGTGAGTTTATCTAGCTAACCAGTTTCAAATAGGTTCCAATGTACTTGCTCCAGGTTCCAAAGTCGAACACTGTATTAGCATAAATTTTCAAAGAATGGTATAGTTGCGAATCTCGTTTTATGGTAAAAATAACCTCAAAGTTGGGTTTTTTGCATGGTAACACCATTAAATTGACACTTACTGTACTTCCGAGCAGAAAATATACACAGAAGTTTGGCAAGTTTGTCATATCTACTATTGGAAGTAGTAGAATGGCACCGACAAATCTGAAATGAATTCGCAGACACGAGTAAGTTAGCTTAACTGACATATAAATTATTGAGAATGCTTTTGATATTTGGATTTTAATTTGACACCTGCGCATCCAATCACATTCATTGTCTATTTTCCGCTCTATTTTGTGCTGATAATACAAGAATCTTGACAATGTATTGTTCAGCCGCACAACCCAGATATGTTCTCTAATCTTCCTCGCTAAATAACTCTAACCGTGTATACAAATTTGGATATATCTGCAGTGGTAAAAATATTGATATGGCAGAAAAAAAGGCACAACTTTAATTTTGCTGAACGTGTATCAAAACACCTGAGCTTCAAAGGAGCAGACGCTGACGATAATAAAACTGCCATACATCTCGTCAATAGGAATCCTGAGGTGGACATTATGAAATCCCTAAAATTTACCAACGGGGAAAATAGTCCAGTTCTCCTGGCTTTAAATGAAACAGTCGCGAGCAAACACTTGAGAACTGAGAAAGGTTTACGCAAAGAAACAGTTGTCAGTCCTTTCTAGCTCTGCTAACTGGATATTGTTTTTATTCTCTATTTCACTTCGGGACAATTTACGAGCAGCAATAGGCAGCAATCTTATCCTGCAAACAAAACAAGTGACACACTGGACAGTTGTCTGTATAGATGGTCTGTGGAATATTAATAAGAGTCCTGCATAGAAAAGGTTATTATATGAATAATGCTTACACTAAACACTAAGATTCTAAAAATGGCAAAGATTCGGATGGTATTCACGATTATCGACTCTGATATCCTAAGTCTCCTATAAACTGATTAGACCAAATTAACAGCTTAGTTAAATAATTTCTTATAATAATTCAGTACTGATGCCAATTGAACCAGTTGACAACAACCATAAGGGACGCAAATTCAGTCATCTGACGCTGCCTACCGAATGGTTAAAGGATCAAGTTGTCTGAACTTCTAGTCAGACGTCGTGAGCAGTGAGGTCCTTCCAGGCGACAGTAAGAATAAATATTCGCCTATACCACTATTTGGTGTTCCTGGTGAATTTCTGGATGAGTAGGAGGTAGAAGTCATGGGGTGAGCATTAATTTGGGTCACAGTTGCTGAATAGCTTGCGAGTCTGTCTCGTAACTGGAAGTCCTTCGGTTTGAACCCCAGGAAGTGTGTACCGATGACGAGTCCTAAACTAGCACGAACCAGCACTCTCGTCCTAGTTGACCGCCAGTAGTTCTCTAACTCATGTCAATATGCGGTGAATATTTTATCAGATGCAATCCCTGTAAGCTAATCCTCGAAAAACAAGATGGTTTTAAATCGTATTCCTCTTACACACAATCAGTTCAATCTTTATTCACAGGCTTTCTTTACTATGAAGTTCAACGAACATCGTAGTGCTGTTTGAACTTTCACTGAAATGATTTAACTTTTTACATTACAGATCTCCGAATTTTAAGTGAATGTCTGTTCGGTCTTTTGTATTGGGAGTTAATTCAATAATGAATAAATACATAACAACAATGAGCAGAGTACTTACACAATAAAAAACGTCACATAGAAGTGATTCCTAAAGAAACTTGAAATTGTTTGCCTGCAAATCAATATAATATTAGGTATTCACAATGCTGATTCAATCCTACAATTTGGTGAACAAGACGAGTACAGCTGTAGTCGTCAGTATCATAAAAACTACATCTATTAAAATCTAGAGATACGAAATATTCTCTTTAAGAAATCATACAAGATATACTAACCCAGATATAATACCCCAAAGGGATATCTCCTAGCAGCTTATTCGTAGACACTGAGAACAGCGTAGAATATTCTTCAGAAATTGACATCATTTTATTCTCTGAAATTAGGCCAGAAAACGTATATGAGCATAGCTATGGTATTTTTGATATTATTAATAATACTTAATAAAATTACCAGACACTAGATTCACACTTGTTTATGAGTTTCAGGGGGAAGATATCTATTTTTTATATGCAGGGATATACTTCAATCAAGTAGGTGACGTGAATAAAACCTTTATTTCGTATTTGAATACACTGAAGTAAGTATTGAGGTGCCGAACGCCCGTCTATCGCTTGAATGGAACCTGAATAGGAACCTCTGGGTTGGACGGGATGTCTAGGTTGACATGGAATGGAATGTTGTGATGTAGATGAGATAAGAGGTTATGCGCGACAGTAGTGCCAGGTAAAGGGGACTACAGAAAACGGAATGAAATAGTAGTATGCTGGTATAAGTATAAAACGTGGGAATACTGCTGAAGCCCTATGTTCAACGCCAAGTGGGAAGTTATAATAATGATAATTAATTTTCTACGAAAAATGGCTGATTTACTCTCTCTCTCTCTCTCTGAGAAACACCACCCGGTGGAGAAATCGAAAAAGCTTCTTTTTAAACCTGACTATTACTTTATTTGCTTGACCAGAGTAATTTCAGAGATCGTGCGTACCGAATTTGGTATGTCAAGCATATTTGTCATAATAATTGAAATATTGGAATAAATAACACGATGGATACATTGATAATTCGCACTTACATGGAGTAACTTCTCTCTTCGAATATGAGCATTTGGAAATATTCACTTATTTCTCCACGCTTATATTAATGCGACTTTTCGACAAAAAGTGTTGACAAAATTTTATGTATTATAGAGTGATCATAGTACGTTTATAGTGGTTTAATGTTATCACATTTCATAGAAGATGAACTTTGTTACAATAGTCGAATTTTGTAAGTTATTTTTGAATGCTGTACACACAAACACACAAAATCATTGATATCAAAGCAAAGAGTCGGTACACAATACAGAGTTATTGTGAGCATATTTTTTTATTAGCGAACATTTTCAAACGCGAAAACAACATCATATTGAGCGTACAAAGGTTATAAGTCACAAGATGATGATTATTTCAATTCTACAAAGTAATTTAGTTTTAAATAATTGATGGAAGAGATTATCAGTGGAGACCAACGATTTCGATGGGATTGTCTACTTCCGAAAAGGTAATCTGACTAGGAAACATGCAATGCTCTTTTTGTCAATATCTTTCATGCTCACTTCAATGTGCGTCTCAAGTATTTGACTTTACCGTTTTAAGGAGCCTCAGTAACTGAATTACTGTCATCAAAACTTCGAAAAATAATAACTCAAACATTCTTCGCAGGAACACTGTGTCTACAGTTTGTCACCCGTTGTATAATCCCAATATAGGTGAAGGATAACCTAGAGAGTCTGACCATTTCAAAGTGCATTTATAAATTCTACTTTTCACTTGGAGACAATGACATTGGTAGAACAACTCGGCGAGCCCACCGTCGCCTTCTGGAGTTTTGTTCGGAGAATTATCTCGTAAAAATGAGCAAATTTGTAGTTAAGATGGAAGTAATTTAGAGATATGTGAGGTAATAAGTAATGATGAAATAGAGTGATTAGAAGTTGTAGGGTTGCCAAATTACAATTTAATGTCTAAGATGATAAATGAAATGTTGATAATGTAACTGATATGCACAAATTATGTGCAAAATCCCTCCATTGAGAATCACTTGTATTCACTTATATATCGCCTCTCAGTCGGCACATTAACATCATTTTTCAGGGGATCATAATATCCACCTAATATCCTGATTAAATGGACTTCTGACAGGAACATTGCATATAATATATCGATTAATGTGGTCAGTAATAACACACTAAACGGCCACTTGTCACGAAGGTTCAAATAACCTTGTCTGAATACAATCTGTCCAGTTATAACTGTAATCTGAAGATCAAAACAAATGAGAATCAGTCAGTAGAAAACAAAATGAATGACTACAGTTGACTTTAAACTCTGGATATGCGAAGTTTACGCAATAATAAGTGAAACAAGTTCTCCAACTCGTGAGATATTTAACACTGTTGTGACGAGTGTGAGAAAGAACTTACATGCTCAATTATTCGTTTTAAACCTTTCAAATAAATTTTGGTATCAAAATTATTATTATTCAGTTACAACAACAATGCTCACTGTAGCGAAATAACTGATCAGAAAATGCCTTCTAGAGAGCCTAATTGTGGCATTCATACATGTTCATATATTTCAACCGTTTGCGTAATTACTACCCAATCCTCCACTAACTTGTGTGTCATCGTTTCAATGTACCTCGATATCCTGTCTCGATTCAATCCTTATTACGGATTCTTCTTTGTAGCTGATAACTGTTACCAATGATTCCTACACATTCTAGTGATTGAAAACTACTGGTGAGCTGTCAGTGGAAAACGCGGTTGAAATGTTTGACTCTCGGATACAGTTGTTTTATCCATCATTGATTGGAATATTTCACTCGAATCTCAGTGTGTATCTTGAAATGCAAAGCTATCTTAACTCACCGTTCGTCATCACATTTTGTCAATTTTAGAGCCATATACTTGGATTCTGGTCGCTGTATGAATTTAAGGACCAGATTTCTCATTTGTGAATTGATTAAAGATCTACAAGCAGTCCCTTCAGGTCATAATTACTAGTCTACAATGACAGCCTGTTTCCAATCGACATGCGTACATGGTAGCTGCTCATGTCAACCGATAGTGCTTCCTTACTAAATATAAATTATGGAAACAACAGATGATCAGTGATACAATCACATATTTCGATGTGAATATTTTCTATTTGCTAAGAAAACTACAAACAATTCTTGAAGTAAATTCATGAATTATTCAACTCACTGACAGAAGGAGAATGTTTATTGAGATATCCATGACAAAGAATCCTTCCTAGAATTCAATTAAAGAAACAGAATACTATTAGTTCACTGTAAAGAATATTTAAATTTATACAGGAATGGATCAGAAATACTTAGAAATGAAAGGTGAGCTCGTGTGTGTGTGGTAAAAATGTGAACACCATGAAATACAGATTTACTCATGCAGAGTAGCAATATTCTTTTCAATCAGACCTGATCAGCCTTTAATCTAATACACATCGTCCTTACAAATGAATACGAAGTATGAACCCATAGTTGTGATTCCCACAGAGGAAGACACGATTGTGAATACAATCCATACAACTAGTCAAAAAGGCATGCACGCTAATAAAAATGCCGTGAGTATAGTGAAACATGGAACATATTGAGATAAAACATTATGAAGTAATTCAAATCGAAATGGAAGTGAAAAAACTGCGTTTTGACGAAAATGCACGAAGCTTATAGCAGGGTTTCTCATATGGCAATTAAATATACATATGCATGGATGGTGGTGGTATTTCTGATGGTGGTTGTGTTGGTCCGGTCATTTGATTGGGTTACAATACTATTCGCGTTGAGCAGATTTCATCGACGACAATTATTATCCATGATACTTTAACTGCAACTGTGGCAGTGGGAGACGGACGTTGTGTTCGGACGGAATATTATTCTCACATATTGTCACAGTTCATTTCAGCATTAGCAACAGAGTACTATGTATTTGAACATTCTATTTCATGCCGTTTAATGTCATAACCTTAGTCAAACGCCCAATGATTGGTTAGAGAATATAAAACTATTCCTATATAAGTGGTGGTTCGAACGATGATCAGTGCTTCGGTGTCTCGCCTTCTGCTGTTACACTACTATTAATCCGCCTATCTGAGGATTTCCTTGTGTAAACGGTGAAGTCACATTTCATGATCCTCCTTAAAGTCAGTTTTTTTAATTCCTCATAATTGATTTCAACAAAATCGAATTTATCTATTTCATAGCCAATCTGATTAGTGACATTCTCAGTGACGGTTTTCAGGTCCTCATAATGCGATGAATGAACACGCCGAGATGGGGAACGCAGGTGAATAACATCTTTGTCATTTTGAATATATCAGTGCAATGTTATTCATCATGCATTTTATTATTTCAATCGTTCATAATTTACTACGCTGAAGTTGATTTGCGTTTTCACGTGTAATTCTCAACCACAAGATGATTAGTTATATGAAACAGCAAATAGAAAGATAGTTACTCACAAACTTTTGATCCCTTATGAGAAATATTTCACCAAGAAGTATTCCTGCGAAAAGCATCATCAGGAAGTATCCGAAATAACCGTCTGCAGTTTTTGTCAGATCAGTCTTGATTTTGTATCCCAGAAGAAACACGAGTGCACATACGAGAAGGCAGACACACCAAACAATCACGGAAACAATTCTCACCTCATACGTCGCGAGTACGTATAAAATAACGGCCAAAAAGATCGCCTATGTTTATGTAGTAGAAATCAAAACAGAGGTGAGAATATGAACAGAAAATGAATTTTGAAATTACAAATTTGTTTTGTAAGCACACTTACTTCTGTTCATCATGATCACTCACAAGCCTAATTCGAGAAAATAATTGTGCAATATACTTTTAACGATGAAGTATGTAGAGTGAGATGGTTGGAGTCAAACAGTGGGAAATCTGCTTAGGTCTATGTTCTGTGCATGGTGCTAGTCATCCGGAATGCTTACCTGCGATCCAGCCTCAGTTCTTCGAACCTACGATATGTGGTGCTGTAGTAATATACCAACACACCAAGACATTCGGACTGATGATTGACGGACTTTAGCTCAGATTGAAACTTGAAGGCACCAGACCTCTGGATCATTCATCATTACTGAATAAGGACCCCTGAGTGGTTCACTTTTCCTTTACTAATCACGGTAATTCTAATAATGTCATCACTATCACTCATCATGTCGTTGTATGACAAATTGTGATTACCCTTTGTAGTATTTGTACAATTAAATAGGTAAAATAAATATACACACCACTCCTTATAGGCATGCACAGATATAACTTACATATAAGCATAAGAAAATGAATCCAACGA